GGTGTGTTTCAGCAGCTACATGACAGGAAACCATTACACAAGTTTATTGGTTCAGATCAATTTGAAACACTTTGTGATATTGTTGCTGAAAACATGGACATATTTTAATTTTATAAAGGGTTTAATAAAGAGATTGACGATTCCGTTTATTTGTCATTTTCTTTGTTTATCTGTAGACATAAAAGAGACTAAATGCTGTTCTCACAACCCCAAAGCAGTGTGACAGAAAAGAACATGTCAAATACAGACATATAAATACACCACAAGCTATTTTCACACATGCATGTTGGTAATGTCTTTTCTAAAAAACTGTAAGCTTTAAACTAATGGTATTCAAGCAAAGATTCAATGCAGTAGTTCAATTATATGTTGACCTTTAACCAAAACCTTAGCAATCAGTATTTCATTTGTTTACAGATATTTTAATACAGTGGTTACTTAAACAAAAGCTAGGCCTGAAAAAGACAGAGACATTAGGGGCACCATGTTCCCCTTGACTTAAATATTGTGGTATATCATAGTATTTTTTAGAAATCAGGCACCTTCATCCTGTGAGTATAAGGCTGCCAGATAATTGCTAATACAGACCACTTGTAGGTATTTGGCCAGCAACACCAAGGAAACCAGAACTTTACATGCACATGTGCATTATCAAACTTTTAACTGTCACACTCACAACCATAGGGCGCCCCAGGTACTGGCGTAAAATTAATCTCTACTCCAGCTCCTCACAAATGTGATTATGTGCATATTTACATGTTTATAGTTGTACGATGGACCTCTTTGATTTTGGATTGTCATCAGACAATACAGCAATTTGTGAAAATGTCACCTGGGGCTCTAGGTAATTAAAATTGACATTTAATACAAATTATTTATCATTTATAAAGAAAAAATAAGACGGTTGAAACCCTTTGCACTCACAGACATAAAAGACATAATGTAGAAAGAGAATAGAACAGAACATTACTGTTAGTGGAGCTTTATCTAATGGGCCTGCAGTGCTCATTGTAGTGGTTAAAAACTCACTGAAATGAGCACCTACAGACTGAGCTGAGATTTGACAAGTGTGGATTAAGAGCATCACAGGAGGGGGGGGGGGGGGGTAACATTTGTTTTAGTATAGCCTGAGTCCATACAATGTTCTCACTCTTCTAACCGGCAATGAATTAACCAGCCATGTGTCTGTTCCAGTCATGTAGTTAAATCTGAAATGCTGCTTAAAACCAGTAACAGCAATGTATTTGTAGCTCTTCAGGTTAGCTTTTAACCCCTTTTTGTACACTGAATGTGGGAGAGGAGACGGAGCAGGTTAGCGAGTACTGAATTCTTTTCATATGAAACCTGGTTTGAGTCTAACTGCCCACAACTACAGTTTTTTTTTATCACCTATTCAAATTCAGAGGATTAATGAAGTCCAAATGGGAATTCAAGTCAAAATAATGCAAAACATTACCGTGGGCTTACTGCTCTACCTTTTACCTAACATTCTCACATCTGCGACTGAGTCTGCACAGGTGTCCTCATGTTTTAGAATTAATTCAATTAGTTAATTTATTATAGAATTTAAAGAAGTTTGGATCAAGACTCAAAACTGTCTGTGGCACTGAAAATCTACCAAAGAGCAATTTAGTGTCTCAAAACCACTTTCACAAAAAATGCCAACAGACTCACCTTCTGCACAAGTTCACATGATGTTGGATGGATGGCAAAGATGTGAAATGTTCCTATGGTTACGACTTTCAATCTTTTACATCACATAATAAAAATAATGCAATGTGTTGCTGAATAATTTGTGATGTGAGGGCTGCAATAAAACAAATAAAGTCACATCACTTTGGTTTTATGAAGCTTGGTTGATGTGAGGTGTCCATGTTTGCTTTCAATGTTTCCAGGTTCATTAAGCACCTTTTCTGTCGTTTTCTGCTGAACGACAGAAAAACACTTTTTTCTTTGTTGTTATTAGGCAAAGCTTTGTGAAATTAAGAATCTTTAAAAAAAACATAAATGACATAAATATTTCATGTGACATGAGATTATGCAGTGAAAATAATAGAAAGTCATGAACAAAGTTGAACATGGTATTGGTTACTAAATGGAAGTTGTAAATGGAGTGGTGAGATATCAGAAAACATTTAGGTATCTGGTTTTATGGTGCAAATGACTAAAAAAAGTATAATGACTTTTGATGTCAGTAGTTGGGCTACATTGATCTTTTTTATTCATTTGGTTAGAAGTATATTTAACATTGCGTCAATATGAAAACTGAATAACTGGATTTGGCTGCTGACATTAAACTGAACTGAATATATTTTTACTTACATTTCACACTTTCACTTTCTATCTGTCACACTGTTGGAAGAAGTGCTTCATTTTCTCATCTCTCTCTCCCTGCAGATGTGATTCACACAGTGGGGCCGATTGTACAAGGAGCAGTTGGAAAGGTGGAGAAAAAAGACTTGAGGTTGTGCTACGAAAACAGCCTGACAGAAGCCACCAAGAATGAAGTTCGCTCTGTGGTGAGGATGGAGGGATGAGATGAAGGGATGGTTAAAACCAGGACAACCGGGAGGGAAGAATGAAGAGATAGCAAACCTGTGGTTGTTGTAGTAAAGAGAAGAAAGGAAGATAATGTTTAAAACCATGAAGATTTTTTTTTACTAAACTATATTCAGACTGAGAGAGATGGAGAGGGAAACAGGAGGGGTGGGTGGGATTGTTGAGTGTAAGAAGTTTATAGGAATCACAGCAGGTGGGAGGTTTCACTACAGCACAAGGTGTTTAAGTCAGAGAAAAAACACCAAAGCAACATAAAGGGCACCAAGTAGAGTGCAGATCTCCATCAGATGGGATTTGGGGCAGGTGTAAGGGTAGATAAAAGAGGGCAGGGCAGACTTTGTGTCACATGTGTGTGCATGAGAGTAGTGTAAAAACACACCACACCAAGCTTTCCCCCTCCCAAACACATGACAGTTAAATCTCACTAAATCCCCCCTGTTTTCTTGTCACTGTATGCTTCTTCCCACACTAATGCATACTTATAAACTAACCGTTATCTGCAGAGGGCACATTCTGCTGAGGGAACGCGCTCTGACACATCAGCTGCCTTTCAGTCAGGATGGTGGCTACATCATTAAAATGGGGATTCATCTATTGCAGTGTGCCTAATTTTTAGTTGATCACATTGTTTTGGGAATAATCTGTTGATAATCTGATTCAGAATGAGAGCATATATTTGTGTAGTTTTTGCAGTTTTTGCAACAACACAAAGTCAAATGTGTGGCTTCAGCGTACTAGGAGAGGATTGTGTTCATCCTAAATGACATGATGGGTAAACCAACAAAGGCCTTTCAGCCTCTTGATGACATCATTGGGTTGTTTAAATCAATGCTGCTGCAGTCTTTGATTAAATAAATACAAACCACAGAATACATTTAGAACTTAACCAAAACAAGGTTGTCTAAAGCAGAATTCAGGATTCCAACCTGAAACAGTTGTTGATCACTTGAGGCCACCAGTGGCCTGTTAAGTGAAGAGTGAAGGCAATGATCGATGAAATGGAGATGTCAGAAATGTTTTTCAAAAACTGAGATCATTGCTTAAAATACCAGTGGTTACATTAGAGTAGAAACATTACTTTGCGCAGAAGAAATTCAGCCGTTGGGTTCACTCAAAAGGGGTTAAAACAAGAGACAGACTGTGAGGATCTTTTGGTTGTTCTTCATTTTAGTGACCCCTGTGTGGACACAGCAGTGCCTCTCATGTCTTTGCTGATTTTGTGATAATGTGTAAGTAGTGTTTAAGTAAAATCTCACCCTACCGTCTTTTAAAAAGTCAGTCTTAGGGGCGGGACTCGAGCGGCAACCTCCGGTGTTGAAAAATGCTGCCAACGCAGAAATGCAAAAAAAATTGTAGTTGCTCGAGGGTCCGCCTGAGGCTGGCTCCAAGACACCAGGAAGTCACATACACATCCCATCCCAGCATATATGTTTACAGCCTGTTACAAAAAAAAACGACTTTGGTCTGATTAGTTAATGTCTTCATTGGCACACACTGTACCGGGGTCCATTTTTTGTATAACTCATCCGTTATTATTTTTTGAAGGATCCGAGTTTTGCGTAGTTAGGCGAGTGGCTGTTTGACAGACGAGCACGACGTAGCGGATTGTCACGAGGCTGAATATCCGCCTCAGCTTTTAGCCCGTTGTTAGGTAGACTGAAAGTTAGAGTAGATTGAGTTAACAAAGTTAGTCTCCTTGTCAGACACCTTCCCCGTCTTTATTCAATGGTCTTTTTTGTTTTTGTAGCAAATAATAAGGCATTTATATTTACTTCAATTTGTTTCATAACCAGCTAAAAAACTCCTTACAGGAGCTTTAATTGATACCTTAAATACATCACTCTATGTACATACATTTTCTAGTATGGCATAATGTATTGATTTGTTTCATATTGCAGTATACAGTTGAATAATTGTCTTTTTATGTAGAGCCCAAAATCCCAAATTAACTGTCACTTCTCTAATTGTGTCATTCTTGATACAGACTGGACTTTTCAATACAACCTTACTTCACCAAGGGAACTTTTTTTTCCTTTTTTTTTTAAAACATTAAGCCCCATGAGCTTCACATTTGAAGTGCACTTTCACTGACTTCTATGTTTCCCTTTCGTCTTGAGGAACTTGTGAGTCGTGTCTGCTCTCACCCCGAGTTGCCAGCTTCACAATCTGGTCAAACGTACAGATCTGGAGTCTCAGAAAGCATCCAAGCATCTGCTCGTACGGCAGCGTTTGACAGCAGGTTGAGGATCTGCCAGGTTTGATTTACTTTGAAGTTTCCTGGCTGCTTCTCTCAGCTCAGACGTAGTGGTGGAGCATGAACCTGCCTGACATGTATCTCAATTAGATACAATTAAATCCCTCTCCTTTCGGATATTAAGAAACATTTTTTTAAACTGTTATGATTAACACTTTCAGCATGTGTTGACAGTCAGTGATCACCTCAGCATTTATCAGCTTTCATGTTTTTTTTTTTAAGAATCTGCTTTTCATGGGGGATTCGCAGGAGGGGATGGATGTATGCAATTAAATGTTGCTGTTTGTAATTTATGTTATCAACAGAAGCCATATTTACTAACATACTCTAATACTCACATGCTCATATGTACGGATTTAGAGTTACTTGTCTTTGTAATTGTTTCCATTCTTCATTCTGGTTGCAATGAGCTACCTAATGAATCAGTTTGAGTATATTTGACAAAGAGAAAGAATCAGCAGCTCTTTTGTGTTCTGTGCTTAAGACAACGAGCAGATTCTAAACAATAAGGACACGTGAAACTTTAAATGTCCTCTTGAATCGGCTAATTCTGAAAACTGCAGCTTCGTGAAGGCTTGATCTGAATTGAAATTGATTTAAGTCTTTTGCGTCTAGCATTGAGGAGAAAGCTAAAGTGTTGTCAATCAACAAAAAGACATGTGGGGACTAGTACTAAAACAAGTTGTTTTGTTCTTTCTTTCGCTTTTATCATATAGCAAGGATAGAGGAGACTGGAAACATGTGTAAGAAGGAGAAATACAACACATTTCCCCAACAGGAGAAAGAAACAATACAAGATTCAAACCATGGGATGTTGTGTTTCATGGTCTGAATCTTCAGCCCTCGGAGAGTCTTTCAGGACATAAAAAAAATTCTTTACAAGCGTTCAACTGCTGCAACACAGGAGGCTTTTAAAGTGAAATAGCCACGGTGAGCTGTTCGATAAAGAGCTGCAGGTGAAGGCTCTTACTACAACAACGCCTTTTACAAATCTGTCCTGTTGTGAAAACCTGATCACAGCATGCCCTGTGTGATGGAAAAAGACGATTATTCGCTGAAATACCATACCTTTTTACTCTAGTGCGGTGTTGAAAGTAACTCTGGGACCTGTGTTGTTTAACCATTCCTGCTGTTACCAACAGAAACCTCCGACATCACCGAATTGAACAGGACGGAGATGTCATTTAAAAACTTTCTTTTGCAATAACTTAGAATTTGAAGTGATATTTTCCTCTTTGGTTCACATCATTACTTTACTAGTGCGAAACAGTCCTTTTTACTCCAAACATCCATGACAAAGACAGCTCGTCAGTTTGGTCTATAAATAGATGAAAGTCAAAGAAAGATGTAGGCTGCTATTTAACACAATTAAGAGAAAGACTTCATGGAGCTCCAGCAGAGAGTGGGCTTTTTGTGCACCATGGGTGTATGTACTTTATTGTGGGTGCGTGTATTTTGTGTCCAAGTGTGTGTGTGTGTGTGTGTGTGTGAGAGTGTGAAATAACAGCTGGTTGTTATGTGATCAGCAACAAACTGTAACCACTTTGTCTGTCATCTTTCCTCTGCAGGCTTTCCCTTGCATCTCCACTGGAATCTACGGTCAGTGTGTGTTATGTTCATGTGTGACTCTTGGTAAAAGCAGTACAAATCTATGACATTTACACTTGTGAAGTATTTGTTGTTATTCCATGTGTTTCGGGTGCTTGAGGCTTTATATTCAATTCAACTCGTTTTTTTTCCCTTTTGAGTAAGAGAGAAAAACATCATTTTTTACACAACAACAACAACAACAACAAATCTGAGTCCAACAGATTAAACACTGTGAACATTGGCTGGGTTTTCCATCATGTGCTTGTTCTCATTATCAGTCTTTCTCTGTTTAACCAGAGTGCCATGCTGCCTGGTGCCGCTTGTTACATTATCTGCTGCAACCCAGAGGTGGTTCTCAGATTAAGGCCTTGGATTAAGACCATCAGATTAAAATAGATTAGGCCGGAGATTGTGTCAGATTGACTGTAATCCCCCTTCACACTGGTAGGGGAGAGAGTTAAGGACAGTGCTTACACGCTCCCTGGGGTGGGTTTGAGTGTCAGGGCAGCTTGTTGACACTTGTCAGCTTTGCTAGAAAGAGGAAGAGGACACCGCTCAGATCGAGTCTGTGAGAAATCTTCTCCTACAGTAATACACCCTTTTTTTTTTTCCAAGTCTCACAAATTATTTTTTTTCAAGACTTGAAGTATGAGAATAAATGTCTTAATTGCTTAACAGTTTTTAAAGCACCCACTCACTGTTTTACACCGACTTATTCGTGTGGAGAAATTAAGAAAATGATAAAAGGATGTTGCTACAATACTGCACAATACTACATGAAATCTACCTAGAATTTATTTTGGAGCCCTAAAAAATTTATATATTCGGATCAAATGAGCAAACCATTAGAGGAAATAATATCATCACCGTACTTCAAAGGCACACAATACTGCTCTTTCAGGCAGTGCACACACACACACACACACACACACACACACACACACACACACACACGCAGGTGTTTTCAATCAATCCGTATTATTATACCTTGTTCCTGTTCAGGTGAGAGGTGCTATGCTGCGAGTTACATAAGGTCACTAGACTCTTTGTTTTTGCCACCTTGATTATCTTCTGCATACATTGGTTATTGTAAAACAGTTATTTTATTTATTTATTTATTTATTGTAATTCTAACGGTACTTAATTAACTATTTTAAAACACAAGGAAACACTTTTTTCATGGGTGATAAAATGCGAGAAGTAAATCATTAACATGATCTTAAAGCTTTAAATTCAGCAGAATGCCTGGGCACTATTATGAATGGCCAATTATTCTGATGTCTTCTTAAATGTATACTTACCCATGAAGAATGTATGAAATATATATATGTATAGTAAATGACTCCCATTAATTTCATGAAGTGATGATCAGAGAGGTCATACAGCAGCTAAACTAGATAGTGATTTAGATAATGATCTGTGTATGTCAGTAGCATTAGTGGAGGGGATACAGCTTTAGGTAAAGTGTGAGTGTTAACTATTAGCATTGGACTGTGAGTTCAGGAACACATAGTCTCAGCTAATCAGTATGTGCATGCTAACTGTGTCATGGATAGATATGAATTTTGTGACTCACCATTCAGTTCAAATGAGTCATTTTTAGGTGGTTAGACTTTTTTTTCTACATGATGAACATACGCTCTCGATGACAATAAGGTAGACGTCAGTCCAAATGTGACACCTCCAAAGTCTTCAGAGATTGAATAAATGGTCAAATTATATGTAATTAACTGTGTTTTATGAATGTTATGAACAACTGTAAATCTTTTCTAATTAGATATCTGTGGGTGTTTAATGAGACTCTTTGCTTCGATATCATATATTGCTATTGTAAAAATAATTTCCAAAGGCTATAATTAACATTAACATTATAAGTTAATAACCTTCAACATATTATTTATGCTTTGGTTGCTTCCGGCACATTATTAGCGAAGATGGTGAACATTTTACATCTTTAAGAAATGCATTTTCAGCTCCCAAAATCCCTATAATATTTTTGAATTTGAATTTAGAATTTAAATGTTGAACTAAAAGAGCTGAAAAGGGCAACCGGTGTTAATAAAGCAAACACATTTCTATTTTTTATATTTTTCAGTAATGTGATTTATATTTACAGTACAATGTATAATAACAGTCAACCTCTTATCATCTGAATACTGCATGTGTCTATTTTACTGTTGGAATAAATCTATTTTTCAGTGCTAATTTGTGCCCACATGTATTCCCCCATGTTGCAGCCTCTCTCCTGATGTATGGAATAATTACTGTATAATCACACAGTATGTGTTTGTTCGGGCTGAGCAGTTTGGCCAGATGATGCATTTTTTACTGCCTGTGTGTTGAGCTTCCAGCAGTGGGGATAATTTTCCAGCACTGAAAGGTCTCGGTTGCTGGATGAATATGGAAGAGATTGTGTAGTCCTCCTCCATCTGTCTCCTAGCTTGTTGTAACCAACAAGTATGTTGTGAATGCATCACTTCTGAGTATGCAAGTCAGGTGGAAAGGAAAGTGAGAAAACACAGAACATGGAAAAAAAGAACAGATACCTGTTAGCGCGGGAAACCAACTAATGCAAACACACTGCACCTGTTTCTGTGTTTTATTTTCAACATTGTGTGTATGTGTTGTGTGTGATTGTGCAGGATATCCAAGTAAGCAGGCTGTGCAAGAGGCATTGGCAACTGTGAGGGAGTATCTGGATAAACATCATGACAAGGTGGGTATGCATGCATACGCACGCGCTTGTGTGTGTGTGTGTGTGTGTGTGTATGTTTGCTATGTGTGCATGATTGGCAATTTTCCACTTCCATTTCCTCTAGGTATCATTCCTTTCACAGCTGTTGTTTTTGTTTTCTGGTGGGAGCGAGGAGAAGGGTGTATTGAGAAAACACACACATGCACACTCAGGGACACACACATACACATTCATTTAAGTACAAACACTCCTGGGTTAGGGCTCTCGTGCTCATGGCCAAGTCTGTGTTTTAATTGGCTCCTTACGGGACGAAACTCAACTTACACACACATACACACACACACACACACACACACACACACACACACACACACACACACACACACACACACACACACACACACACACACACACACACACAACACGCTCTCTCTCTCTGTCTCTCCGGAGAAACAGCAAGCTGAGAAAAGACAAAGTGATGGAATAGATGACTGGAGGGGAGGGACACAGTGGGGGGGGGGGGGGGGGGGGAACAAAGAGGAAACTTTCCAATCAGTCGTTCACATGCTCTAAACTCTCCTCCTCTCTTCCTCCCTAACTTTCCAGGTCTCCTCCCACTCCTCTTTTCAATCTCTCTCTCTCTCTATCTGAGCAGCGTGCTGTATCACCTCCCTGTGAGGTTGTTGACGATGTTATTGTTAGCGCTTTAGTCTCCCGGGTCTCTGCAGCAATACTAGTCAACTTATGCCATCAGCCTGAGACGAGCTCGACAAACAAGCATTAAACATCTCGCGTCTCACCGTAGAGGCCGACAGTCAACAAAACATAAACGACACAAAATAAGACCAGCGAGCAAAATCAACAAAACTCTTATTTACACCCTGCCCACAAATGCTTCCACTGTGTGTTTGTTTAAGGGGATGGAAAAAAAGTTTTATTGTGAGCAAATGAGATTGAGGGACAGAGTTTATTTGCATACATATAAAGTGAGACTGTTCACCAGAGGAAATTGAGTTCAATCTTTAATTGAGCCCCTTCCCGCTGCACGTTTTTTACAGTGTGTTTTGTTGGGCTTGTGCTGGCTTAAAGAGCTGTAATGTAGGAAATGAAATTGAAAATTACAGACGCAGTGGGAGACAAGATGGACTCCAGTCACAGGGCAGTGTGCCAGAAGTCTGCATCAAGTGTAATAACAAAACATGAATCATTTATTCCTGAATAACCACATTGGTAATAATGGAGCTCATAAGTTTTATAGTTCTTATATTCAGCCAATTAGATTGACTGTAAGGTTCCCAGAAAGCTTTAACAAAAATAATGCATGACATTTGACAAAACAGCCTGTCTGAAATAGAACAGAATAGAATGTCCTTATTGTCATTATACAATATGTACAACGAAATTATAAAGCTTCACCTTAAAGTGCACACAGATACAGTCATCCACAGCTAAAAACAACAAAAACTCTCATTCAGGTAAGATGGGCAGTCAATGTATGTGTAGAAGTATTTACATGAGGTAGTATAAAAAAGTGTCTTGCCAGGTAACAAAATCTAAATAAATCTAAATATTGCGCATGTAGAGGAAAAATATACTGTTGTATCAAAAAAAAAAAAAAAAAAAAAAAAATATATATATATATATATATATATATATATATAGCACAAGGAGGAATTATATTTTTTTTTTGTGTGTTTGTGTGTGGTGAGGGTGGGAGGACATTAGGGGCTGAAGATATATGATCTTCACCGTCCCACGTTCATGTACGCCATCATTAAATAAGAGGACTTTACGCCAATCAGTTAGATATGAAGCTTATTGGAGATCTTAAGAAAAGGCAGATTTTCCTTCTTGGTAGGAAAACGGAAAAGTTATCTAACTGAGAATATCTGCCAGAAAGAGTTAGCAGCAGCCATGGGCTGAAAAACAACTTGATTACAGCACAGTTAAAAATAAAGACCACTGACTACCAGGCAGACAGTTTGATTTCATACACGTGGTGAATGTGTATTTTGATATAGAGGTAGGTCATAATCAGAGGTACAGAACATCGTAAGTGTCCGTGTCAGTGTTTTAAACAAATATAGAATGATCATTTTGATCGTGGTTTAAACCAAGTAGCCACACGTGCTAGTCCTTCTAGCTCACTTTATGTAGAGAATAAACAAACTGTTTCAAAAACACAGAATCGGCTTCATACACTTGAGATGTAAACCGACTCTGACCTCAAAGATGTGTCGGTTAGCTTAGATTGGCCCCTGGCTCCGCTGTTCAGAGGTGAAGTTTAGAAAACATTCGAGTAGATATTTACAATGAACAGAATCTTCAGCTCTTCAGCCAAAATGTTCATGATAACAAATGTAAATTTGACCATAACTGGCAGATCTGTCTGCTTCTAATGAGATGTTTTCTAAAGCTCCAGAGCAGTTATTAAATGGACCCAGGTTGTTCATGGCTATTTCAAAATGATAATGTTTTACATTTATTTAATGGGAATATGGTAACACATGTACTATTAAATAAAGGTAATGTTGTGGGTTGACAAATATACTGTAGGACTTAATGTACTTCATGTCTATTAGTTCAAATATATTCTCCATCACAGATCAGTGAGCTGAAGTCTGTGCAGGGTGTGAAAAATAAACTCTTCGGCAGACAGATTTTCTGCTTGAGAAGGGAACATTTTCAGACTGTTTCCTGTAAGACCATCAGTTTTAAGAGAGCCATTTTCATTCTTTGTTGTTTTTATTGTTAGCTTTGGCATCTCCAGGGTCCATTTTGCAACAGTATCAAAATTAGCTCCCCACTGCTACTGATTTCTGGAGGCCATTTTACATCTCTCCTCCCAAGCATTTGCTTTAATTTGAATGCATGAGGCTGCAAAATGGCGCAAGTGGATGCAACTGTGGAGGTCTGGGATTTTGGAACCTTGGCCCAGGGGATGTAGTTACTTACCACACATTTCCATATCTTTCCTTTAAGCCTCCATGCATCCAAACTGTGGCAAGTGATGGTAATTGTGCAACAAGCTGGGAGTGAAAACACGGACTGCAGGCTAACAGGCTGCAGAAATGTCTGTATTTGAAAGCAATAAGACTTAAACTCCCACACCAAGCACAGAGTGAAAGAAACAGCCTGGCTATAAATTTGCACTGCCTACAAAATAGAAGAATCCAAACCGTTGTAGAGACATATACTGGAATAATGTTTGTGAGAGTCTGAGAGAGAGAACACACAGTGGCGCTTCTATCCCTTGAAGCCTTTTTTTTTTTTTTTTTTACTGTCGCTACAGTACTTTTAATCATTTGGCTACATATAGTACTGCTACTTTACAGTGTGTCTGTCAGAATATTATGGAGTGCTGAGGAAGGATCTAAAGAAGAGTACAGAGCACAGACTCAGAGCTTAAAGATTGTTTTTGGTTATAAAATAGCTGACCTTACTCGACCAATGTCATTAATGCAAATCTATGTGTGTGTGTGCGTGCGTGCGTGTGTGCGTGCGTGCGTGCGTGCGTGCGTGCGTGCGTGCGTGCACACACATCGAGTGTAACACTGAGGGGATGCACAAAACGAAACCATACAAAGTGACTTTCTCTCTTACACACACACACAAACATCTTTAGACACAAACACAAGGATACGATACAAAAGGACTCACTGCACAGAAATCTGTCTTTCAAACCCCCCACCCCCTCTCTCTCTCTCTCTCTCTCTCTCTCTCTCTCTCTTTACACACACACACACACACATGCACTGTCTCTCTTTGTACATTTGCAGCACTCTGTGATGCCTCACAGTGTAATAAGCCTTGTGTTGTGGCATGATCATAATAGGCTGCTAATAGGGGAGTAATGGACTGATGCATTTGCTGCATTCTCCTGATATCACTGCTGCACAATGTCACACACTGCTACATTATTCCCCTCCTGCTATTGATGAATACACAGTTATTACATATGCTTGTAATAAAAGACCATTTGTGTGTGTGTGGTGTGTGTGTGTTGTGTGTGTGTGTGTGTGTGTGTGTGTGTGTGTGTGTGTGGTGTGTGTGTGTGTGTGTGTCAGCTGGACAGAGTCATCTTTGTGTGTTCTTGCCGACGGATAAGGAGCTGTATCTGCAAAATCTCCCGC